AATTTTGATTTCCTTATCGGAAACTGGAACTTTAAAAGGCACGCATTTTATTAAATAAACTAAATAGGCATACGAAACATACGTGTTTCTTGTTTGTGTATAAGAAATATCCCACACCAATAACTTTCGTCTTCTGCTGGTCGGACACATATTATTTTGTGCCGTATGTCCTTTAATAGTAACTTACGAATGGGTTTTTTTTTTCTTTAACTCTGATCAATCTTAAGTCATAAGCAGGACGTTCAGTGTATAGAATATTCATTTGCCCCGAAAAGAACCACAAGCCAGTTTCAAATAGAAGCAACGAACACAGCTTTTTACCAAAACATGTTAGTTTGTTTCCAGTTGTTCAGATCGTGTGATCACAACACCAGACACTTCTGAACATCCCAGACCGTTATGTTCTTAACCCGTTCAAATCCTCATCTGACACTTTTTGGTCTCTTTGATGAGTTATATGCAGGTCTGTCAGTAGAGAGGTTAAGTAATTTCGTGACGTCCGCTCCGTCCAAGCGATTCATATAAAAAGCAAACTCAAATAGAAACATGGATTTCCAACACAACCTTACTGATGAGAGCAGAGGTCCTAATGGGACAGAGGTCAACAGAGATCTGACCATGTCCGAGACTGCCACGATTATAATGGCTTTTGTTATGGGTTTCACCATCCTAGTGGTCAATACCTTGACCTTACTGGCGATGTGGACTACGAAATCGCTTCGAACTGTGCAGGTAAAGCATTTTGATATTATTATTATGTCTGATGTGTGAGAGTAAGGATTACTACTACTGCAGCTGCTGTTGCTACTACTACTACTACTACTACTACTACTACTACTACTACTACTACTTTTTCTGGTAAGTGTTTCACGGCGCTTGCAACCGCATAAGGTCATATGAGAGCGCGGGACACACCAAACATTTATTTCAGTTGGTAGGAAATTTTGAATTTTGCCCGGGTGGCGGCTGAAACCTACTCTTATCGATTTTAGACCCCCAAGGGATCTTTAACGTGCACAACTTGCATACGGGCCCTCCGAGATCTTTTGCCCTTGTCCGAGAAGGCTAGGTGTATATCTTTCCTACCAGAAGTTCAGGGGTGTGGACAGCAGTAAGAAAGAGCCAATGAGTAGCAGTAGAAAGGCTGCAGAAAGAGTCAGGAGCACAGAGGAGGGGGGAGGGGCAAAGGAGGCGGGGGTAGAAAGTGATGACGAAAGCAGACGACCGAATATTGCTAGAGAGCATGAAAGGGGGTGAAAAGAGGCAGTTTTAAAGAAGAATTTTTTCCGCCGCTACCCAGATTCAAACCCGTGACCTTTGAATGAGAGGCGAACACTTTAACCTCTAAACCACGAGAATCACTACTAGTACTACTACTACTACTCAGGGGCGGTTTGTTAACTGGACAAGACCGGCGGTGCCGGTCAGATTTTTGTCAACTGAACTGTTGACTAGAGGTTTATTGCTGATGACGATTTTCATTCAGTTTTAAGTAAATCCAAACAAACATGTATGAACATTCAAAAACACCTTGCCGATTTGAAGGTGCTCAAATAGACAAGTGGGATTCACTGCTGTTTTGTCGCGACATAACCTCATTCCTTCACGTCTGTTATCGCACCGGCTCGTAACTTTAAATCGTCTCCCGTCAAACCGTCACGTCGCGGAACTTCGTATTACGTACGACGCCAAACACACGGCGGGTTTGGCCCATGGACAAATCCATCATCAGCCCACAGAAAGATTAGAATATCCTTTAATTGCCAGATTGGCCTCTTTGTAGCTTACAAAATTAAGAATGAGACTGTCTTGAGCACACAGACACAGGTATTATTTTATCAGCAAAACATGTATTTATCATTCAGCCTTTCTCTAACTACTATCAGAACATTTATTGTCAGCATGGCACTTATCTTTTTTGTTTATTGACTTTTTAACCACCTATAGTTCCTGTTTGGCATTTGCTCACCGTTTTCTCCCCACTAATAACTTACCTGGCCCTTAGGAGTCTGGCCGGCGAAAGAAGGAATCGTCTAGTGAAGATACATAAGGAAAATTTTAACGAGGAGCGATAGACACTCGGCTGTCAGAGTCTTGGCCGAAAACCCCCTCCCTTCCCTCCCCTTTTCAACCCTCACCCCAGCTAGACACCAAGTTCTATAATTAGCATTTGACACACTTCCCCGCTTTGTTACAACACAGTGTTTAGTGTTCATT